GCTGTCACTGAAGTATCCCAGGATTTAAACATTCCTACATCCAGACTCCTCAGTCAACCAAAGCAAGGCTCTCTGAGAAACTTTTGAAAAATACGCATTGAAAAACAGCCATGAAACCCACATGGTTATAAGCTTTAAATCGTTTCAGAATTTTGGTTGTTTTTAACGACAGTTCCAATGTCATCTGAGGAATTTACCTGTGTAAATCTTCCACTTCCAGTTCCCACATACTTTCACCGATGGGATTATCAGAAAGGTGTGTCATCTTCACAGCCTGCAGGCGTGGCTTGGGGCTGCAGGCCTGTACCACTCCCATCACCATCACGGACTTCCCTAGAAAAAGAAGGAAAGCCATAGTAATGTTTTGTTTTTTTTTCTTTTGAGACAGTCTCACTCTGTCGCCTAGGCTGGAGTGCAGTGGCGTGATCTCGGCTCCTTGCAACCTCCGCCGCCTGGGTTTAAGCAACTGTTGTGCCTCAGCCTCCTGAGTAGCTGAGATTACAGGTGTCTGCAACCATGCCTGGCTAATTTTTGTATTCTTTGTTAAGACAAGGTTTCACCATGTTGGCCAGGCTGGTCTGGAACTCCTGTCCTCAGGCAACCCACCCACCTCAATCTCCCAAAGTGCTGGGATTATAGGCCTGAGCCACCGTGCCTGGACATCTTCTTTGGTTTCTGACTTTACTAGGCCAAACAAAACCGTCACGTAAACTGTGATCATGCCCAAGGAATGGAGGAGACACTCCCATCAGAGTATCAGTTTAAGGGGCAGAAAACCTCAGCTTTCTTCTAAACCCGTTCCTTGCTCAAAGCTACAGAGTATGTGACTAGTCTCTGTGCATAGCACACATCCTCTTTCTGCAGACACCCTCTGACAGTTACCAAGCAAATCCAATTTTCCTTCCATGTTGCCAGAAAGGCTGGGCAGGCAGCCCCTGCCCCACTGTTCCAACTGCTGGGACCTATCCCTGCCACCTCCAGCACATACAGGCAAATCCACACAAGGGCAGGCTGCCACCTGGATGAACTAATGACATATTAACTGTGACACTCACTTCCCATTCCCTTGGGGAAGTGACTCTCCTTCAAAGCAAAACTTGGCCAATCTCAACCACACAAAACCCAACTGTGTAAAAGAAAACTCCAAACACTGCAGGAAGGACAGGCCTGGTGCTAGCCCCACTGCCTGCCCCTATGAGGCTGCTTCCATTGCACTGCATGTGGGGCCTGGGGCTTAGAGCAGGAAGCCAGGCAAGCTTACCCCTGATCCCGCAATTCAACCTCAGGTAGGGTGTGCTAAGGTTTCTCAGAGCTCCTCCCCACAATCCACTTGGGTATCTCGGTGAGAGGCTAGTTCTGAAAATGCACTTACTGTTCCCTCTAAATGGGCTTAAAGTGCTGGTAGGGCTGGAACCCATAGAAGTAGAACTGAAGGCCCAGGAAGAGAAGAACAAGTCCAAGGACATTCCGACCGGGAGAGGGGAAAAGGAGCTCTCCTAGGAAGGCACACGCAGCCAGCCGGATGAGCTCAAAGGCGTGCGATGAGACAAGATGAGACAAACTGGCCCCGTAGGTTCCACCCACACCCTCTCCCACTCCAAAGCAGCTCTCCACTCTGTCCCTCCCTCTCCTTTCGGCATTCCCCCCCCCACCCGCCCCGCACCGTTGCCATGACCACTCCAATGGTTCCCAGCCCATGTTCTGCCAGCTTCCTTCACTTCAAAACCACCCCCACCTCACAGCTGCAGTCAACATTCTCGAATCCACCTCCTGCCTCCAGAACTCAGTTGATCACAGTACGCGATCTAGGTTAGTGTCTGCAGACACACAGCAGCTTGAGGACAGGGAGAACTTCTCAATCAACTCAGCATTTTCAGCACCTTCAGTTTATGGAAACAAACTCCTGGATGTTCCAGAGAAAAAGGCGGTGGAGGCATAGCACTAGAGCAGCAGTGCAGTGAGCAGAGCTCAAAGCCACGTTGAAGCAGGCAGGTCCTTCCAGACAGCCACTGAGGCTCATCAGGATAGAGCCCTCCTTCCTTCCACCGCTGCCCCAGCCAGGCTCCCCAAATGCACGAGGCTCTATCCCCTCCAAGCCTTTGCACAGGCTGTTCATGAATCTGCATAGTCTCCTGCCACTACACCCGGACGGAGGGTACCCAACTGTCCTAGTTTTAACACTTAAAGTCACACGTCCCAGGACCCTCTCAGTCCCAGGCAACCGCGGAGGGTTGGTCCTTACAGGCAACTCCAGTGCAACCTTCAGGGCTGCCTCTTCCAGGAAGCCTTCCCTGACCCCTCAAGCCTGGATCAGCTGTCCCTCGTTTGCACCACCTGGCTCTTGCCTGCAACATTACTTTGTGTTTTAGTGGCCTGCTTACCTCCCTGCCTTCCTGCCTGAAGGCAGTGACTCAATTTTGTCAAGCTGGACTTGGTATTAATTAACAAGAGGAAATGATATGGCCCTGCCAGCTGGTATTCAGGTCAGTGAGTATGTCAGACAAGTTCACCAATGCCCATTGGTTTAAACAATGAAGTATTTACTAGATGCCAGGTTTATGCCAGGACTGAGACCAGACAGGAGAATGCTCCAGCCTGCCTGCAAGGGGCTTTGCCTGCAAGCCAACACACCAAGCAGCATGGGTTACGTGCTGGGCAAAGGCTAAGGGAAAGGGTTGGCAAACATTTTCTGTAAAGGGCCAGACAGTAAATATTTCAAGCTTGTCCCAGATACTCAACTCTAACTGCTGTGGAACACTGGCTGACACACTCTGTAAATTACCAAGGTATTCCAATAAAACTTATGGTGGGGTGTGGTGTCTCACACCTGTAATCTCAGCACTTTGGGAGGCGAGGCAGGCAGATCACCTGAGGCCGGAGTTCAACACCAGCCTGATAAACATGGAGAAACCCTGTCTCTACTAAAAATACAAAAAATCAGCTGGACGTGGTGGCGCATGCCTGTAATCCCAGCTACTTGGGAGACTGAGGCAGGAGAATCACTTGAACCCAGGAGGTGGAGGTTGCGGTGAGCCAAGCACCATTGCATTCCAGACTGGACAAGAGCAAAGCTCCATCTCAAAAAACAAAACAAAAAAACTCTTTACTGCCGGGCGCGGTGGCTCAAGCCTGTAATCCCAGCACTTTGGGAGGCCGAGGCAGGTGGATCACAAGGTCGAGAGATCGAGACCAACCTGGTCAACATGGTGAAACCCCGTCTCTACTAAAAATACAAAACATTAGCTGGGCATGGTGGCGCATGCCTGTAATCCCAGCTACTCAGGAGGCTGAGGCAGGAGAATTGCCTGAACCCAGGAGGCAGAGGTTGCGGTGAGCCGAGATCGCGCCATTGCACTCCAGCCTGGGTAACGAGAGCGAAACTCCGTCTCATTAGCTGGGCATGGTGGTGCGTGCCTGTAATCCCAGCTACTCAGGAGGCTGAGGCAGGAGAATTGCTTGAACCCAGGAGGCGGAGGTTGCGGTGAGACAAGATCGCGCCATTGCACTCCAGCCTGGGTAACAAGAGCGAAACTCCATCTCAAAACCCTTTACTGATGGACACTGATGCTCGAATTACATATACTTTTCACATGTCAGTTTTTTTCAACCATTTAAAAATGTAAAAACTCGCCAGGCACAGTGGCTCATGCCTGTAATCCCAGCACTTTGGGAGGCGAAGGTGGGCGGATCACTTGAGGCCAGGAGCTCGACACTGAGTCTGGCCAACATGATGAAACCCCAACTCCACTAGAACTACAAAAATTAGCCGGGCGTGGTGGTGCATGCCTGTAATCCCAGCTACTCAGGAGGCTGAGGCACAAGAATCACTTGAATCTGGAAGGTGGAGGCTGCAGTGAGCTGTGATTGTGCCACTGCACTACAGCCTGACACAGAGCAAGGCTCTGTCTCAAAAATAAAAATAATAAAAGATTAAAAAGCATTTTTAGTTTGCAGGACACGTGAAAAGAGGAGGCCTGTAGTTTGCTGACTCTGTCCTAGACCAGTGCTGGGGCTGAGGGCAGGCAGGCAGAGGGAAGGCTGAAGGGCAAGGCGGTGGGGAAGGGGCGGAAACATGTTTTGCACCCTCACTATGAGCCAGGCTTAGTATTAAGGCAGTTGTTTACTCACTGAATCTACACAACAGACAGGAATGATTAGCTCCTTTTTACATAAGAGTACAAATCCAGAAAAGTTAACAGAAGTGCTCCAGGCAGCTCAGCTGGGAAGGGATGGAGCCAGGAATTCACCTAAGCCTGTCTGAATCCAAAGCAGCTCCGGCCAGACCACCGACCTATCTGCCTGTAATCCCAGCACTGTGGGAGGCCGAGGCGGGTGGATCACAAGGTCAAGAGATCGAGACCATCCTGGTCAACATGGTGAAACCCCGTCTCTACTAAAAATACAAAAAAATTAGCTGGGCATGGTGGCGCGTGCCTGTAATCCCAGCTACTCAGGAGGCTGAGGCAGGAGAATTGCTTGAACCCAGGAGGCGGAGGTTGCGGTGAGCTGAGATCGCGCCATTGCACTCCAGCCTGGGTAACAAGAGTGAAACTCTGTCTCAAAAGACTCCAAGACTGAGCAGGAGGGGCCTTGGGAATGAAGTCATCTTGGCCTGATCTCCCAGGGGATGGAGCTGAGGGGAGGGCAGGCCCACATATCCTCAGACCTCCTCAGCTTAGACCTCACATCCTCTAGAAGCCTCCAAGGGTCACTCAGCACCTTGTACATCATCACAGCTCCCCAGGGATCAGTGATCCTCTGGGACACATGCTCACTGCCTATCTCCCAGCAGGCTTTATCTGGGTCTCAGCTGCAGCCCGGCGCTGCACATGGGGAGGCTGATGTGTAACACCTGCCCCATTGACATCTCAGTGAACAAGTAAGATGGATGTCCACTGCCTGACACTCAAGACAGTTGGTTCTTGGAGCACTTATGTGTCAGGCACTGGGCCAAATGCTAAGGATATAGTTGTCAGGACCACACAGCTGTGGCCTTCCAGAAGCTCGGTCTGGCCCAGTGGTTCTCAAAGCATGGCCCCCAAACACCAGGCATGGTGGTGTAGGCCTGTAGTCCCAGCTACCCAAGGAGGCTGAGCAGTAGGACTGCTTGAGCTCAAGGCCACCTGGGCAACAGAGTGAGTCGCTATTGCAAATAAATAAAACATTTTAAAAATTCCAAAGTAGACTAAAGTAGCATCAGCCTCACCTGTGGAGCTGGTTAGAAATGCAATTTCCAGCCCCACCTGGACCTCGTGACTCAGGAACCTGAGGGTGATAGCCCAGCCATCCCAGCGTTAGCAAGCCCTCCAGGAGAGACATACACGCTCAAGTTTGAGCATCAGTGGCTTAAGAGAGGAAGCAGGCAGGGCACAGTGGCTCACGTCTGTAATCCCAGCACTTTGGGAGGCCAAGGCAGGCAGATCACTTGAGGCCAGATTAGCCTGACAAACATGGCAAAACCCAGTCTCTGCTAAAAAAAAAAAAAAAAAAAAAAAAATACAAAAATTAGCTCGGTGTGGTGGCACACACCTGTAATGCCAGCTACTCGGGAGGTTGAGGCACAAGAATCGGACTTGAATCCAGGAAGTGGAGGCTACAGTGAGCTGAGGTTGTGCCGCTGCACCCCCAACCCTTGGCGACAAAGTGAGGCTCCCTCAAAAATAAAAATAAAAAAAGAGGAGGCAAACGTAAGTGAGCTACAGCCCAGAGCAGTTCAACGAAGGAGCAGTGCAGGAGGGTCTCCAGTTCCTAGGGGTTAGGGAAGACTTCCCTGAGAAAGGTACACTTGAGTTGAGACGTTAAGGACAGTATTTCCTAAAACTTGATGACGAAAAAGGAAATCAACTGGAGTAGGGGGCTTGTGACAAATGAAGGTGCCCAGGTCCCTCCCCAGAAGATTTCCACTAGGAGGTGGAAGAGTCCCGAGAATCTGGATTTGTTAAGAGACTGCAGGTGATTGCTATCATCAGATCAACTTGACGGAGGAAGGACCGGAACAAGGGGTCCCCAGGCGGGAACTGGAGTTGGCAGAGGCCCACCGCGCCCCGCCCCCCTTTCTAGTGCTTCAAGACCGGGTTTGAAGAATCTTGGCCTCGTGCAACTTCTCCTCGGACAGCACGGAAGACGATCCCCGGTGAGGCCCGGGCATTAACCTGGGACAGGCAGGGCCGCATCGGGTTGACATCCCGCTCCAGGCCGCGGACCGAGAAGGCCCCCGCTTGGGTCCCGCAGCAGCGCCTGCCTCGGTCCGCCATCACCACCGTGCCCTGCATCCACACGGCCGCCAGCTCCAGCGGCCTTGCGGTCCGCCGCAGCCTGCGACAGCCGCCACGCTCCAGGGCCGCCCTCCGCGTGGCGGCCGCAGCTGCTCTGGCCAGCACCTTGAGTGGCGGCGACCTCTGGAGCCGCACGGTCGTGGGGCTGCCTGAGTAATGAGTCCGCAGGCCACCACCATTCCGCCAACGCCGCGGCTTTCCTGCCCAACTTTGAGATGCAGAGGGCCCGGCCCGCAGCAACCAATCAAGGGAGCGCTGGCAGAGCCGGCCAATGGTCGACGTCAGAAGGCGGGACCGCCTGGCGGAGCGGCCCTCTCTATCAGACCTGGAGGTGCGCGTGCGTCTGAAAAAAGTAAATAAACGCCCGCAAGTCGTCGATAACACTAAAGAAATGCCCGCAAGTTAGGAACGAATGGGGGAAAGGATTAAATGAGAATAAATAAGGGAAGACAGAGAGGTAAAGAACTTCCTCTTTCAACGCATCTCAAAATTTGGCGAACATACAGATCACCTGCAAAGTGTAATTCATCTTTACATTGCCTTGTTTTGAGGTGGAGGTGAATAATGAAAGCCTGTATTTCTTGGAGTGGTCAGGAATCCAGTCACAGGAAATAAGACTGGAGAGGGAGAAGGGGACAGCTGGAAAACTTGCCCTTCTTCTTTTATTATTATTTTCATTTATATTTTAATAGCATCAAATACTTTTAAGGTTAACAAAATATATTGCTATTTTTCACAAAAGAAATGCACATTTATTGTAAGAAAAAATTAGAAAAGGAAAAAATGTAGAAGAAAATAATTGTCAAAACCACTTATTGATAGCCACTGCTAATTTGGGGGTGTATTAGTCTTCAGGTTTTAAAGTAAAAGTATGTGTGTGTGTGTGTATTTTTTTGAGACAGGGTCTCATTCTGTTGCCCAGGATGGAGTGCAGTGGCACAGTAATGGCTCACTACAGCGTCCACCTCCCGGGCTTAGGTGATTCTCCCACCTCAGCCTCCTGAGTATCTAGAACTACAGATGTGCACCACCACACCCAGCTAATTTTTGTATTTTTGTAGAGACAAGGTTTTGCCATGTTGCCCATGTTGAACTCCCGGGATCAAGCAATCCTCCCTCCTTGGCCTCCCAAGTGCTGGGATTTCAGGTGTGAGCCACCATGCCTGGCCTATTACTGATATACAAAGATTGTTTTGTATATTGTTTTCACTTAATAATGAGCATCTTTCCATAACAACAAATATACATCTGCTTCCTCTTGAATGACTGCATAATACACGATTTGTCTCATCACATATTAAACCAATATCCTATAGTTGGACATTAAGGCTATTTCCAATTTTTTACTTTGTAAATATAACCACTGTGGACCTACTTAAAAGCTAAATCTTTGTGCACATCTTTCAAATAAAATTCCCAGAAATTTCTCCCTAAAAATTGAATGTCTGCAGTCAGCAAAGTCCACAAATCCTAAATCAGGCAATCAAAAAAGTCAAGGTCAGTTCTTAAGAGAGACTTTGGTGGCAGGGCAAGATGACTTATGCCTGTAATCCTAGCACTTTGGGAGGCCAAGGTAGGCGGATCACCTGAGATCGGGAATTAGAGACCAGCCTGACCAACATGGAGAAAACCTGTCTCTAAGAGAGAGAGAGAGAGAGAGAGAGGGAGAGAGAGAGAGAGAGAGAGAGAGACAGAGAGAGAGAGAGAGAGACAGACAGAGAGAGAGAGAGACAGACAGACAGACAGACAGACAGACAGACTTTCAATTCCCAGGGCCTCCTGCAGTACCAGGCACTCAGAGAGTGTTCAGCAAGAAATTGATTTTTTTTTTTTTCCTGGTGAGACGGAGTCTCACTCTGTTGCCCAGGCTGGCAGGCTGGAGTGCAGTGGCACGATCTCAGCTTACTGCAACCTCTGGCTCCCGGGTTCAAGCGATTCTCCTGCCTCAGCCTCCTAAGTAGCTGGGACTATAGGTGCACGCCACCACAGCCAGCTAATTTTTGTACTTTTTAGTAGTCATATTGGCCAGGCTGGTCTCGAACTCCTCAACTCACGATCCATACACGTTGGCCTCCAAAGTGCTGAGATTATAGGTGTGAGCCACAGCGCCCAAAGGTTTGATTTTTATAAAATTGAGCCAGTTCCTGTTGTAAGAACTTTGTAGGAAGTATCTCATATACCCCACAGATCCTGAAAAAACTCTGTTCTACACAGGTGAGGAAACTGAGGCTAAGGAAGCTAGGCAGATTGACCATAGACTCTCAGTAGCCTCTATGAGGTTTTGCCTCTAAATCTAATATGGTTTGGCTGTGTCCCCACCCAAATCTCATCTTGAATTGTACTTCCCATAATCCTCACATATCATGGGAAGGACCCTATGGGAGGTAACTGAATCATGTGGGCTGATACCCCCCATGCTGTTCTCATGATAGTGAGTTCTCATGAGATTTGATGGTTTTATAGGGGGCTTTTGCCCCTTTGCTCAGCACTTCTTCCTGCTGCCATGTAAAGGACATGTTTGCTTCCCCTTCTGCCATGATTCTAAGTTTCCTGAGGTCTCCCCAGCCCTGCAGAACTGTGAGTCAATTAAACCTCTTTCCTTTATAAATTACCCAGTCTTGGAAAGTTCTTTATAACAGCGTCAGAACAGACTAACACAACACCTCAATCCTCACCTATAAAGTAACCAGGCGCCTGGGCTGAGAAGGGAGCAGGAACATGAACCAAGAGAGAATCCAACCTGTTCATGCCTGTTGGGTCCTTACTGACCTTCCCCCAAGGTGCCTTAAGGCCAGAGAAGTGATGGGGAAGGGAGAGAGGGCGAAGGCAGAAGCTCCCAGGCTTCTTGTGTGGGCCTGAGAATTCCCCATCATTCCCTTGGCCTCCAGATTCCCTGCCCCCCTACAAGCCCAACACCATGTTGCTGGCAGAGTGATCTTTTCAAAACACAAGTCTGAGCATATCAGCACCGGGTTTATAACACCTTGATGGTGTAATCCACACATCTGAAATGTGAGCATTCCTGGCAGAGGGAACTGCACATGGAGAGCCCAGACAGGGGAGAGGAAGCAAGAAGCTTGTAGCAAACTGCCAGTAGTTAAGAATGGCTGGGATCCAGAGTAGAATGGAGGACTGGGGATAGATGTGTCTGGCCCTACACAACCTCATTTCTTATCCCCATTTTACAGGTGATGAAACTGAGGTTCAGGCCAATGATAAGCCTGAAGGCACATGGCTAGTGAGTTGTAGAGTCAGAACTTAAACCCAAATCCATCTGACCCCAAACTTCATGTATCTCCATCTCACTGTTGGCACTCGGGCCCACGTGGACACATCAAAGGTATCTCCAGACCTTTGCTTGTGCTGTTCTCTAACTGACATGCCTTCCCCTCAATTGCTCTCAGTTGAAACCTGGCACAGTCATCAAGTAAAGAAGGACATGTTTGCTTTCCCTTCTGCCATGATTCTAAGTTTCCTGAGGTCTCCCCAGCCCTGCAGAACTGTGAGTCAATTAAACCTCTTACCTTTACTAATTACCCAGTCTTGGGAAGTTATTTATAACAGCGTGAGAACAGACTAACACAACACCTCAACCCTGACCTATAAAGTAACCAGGCGCCTGGGCTGAGAAGGGAGCAGGAACATCATCAGGTGCCTGCTCACCAGTGAGACCTCTTCTATTCAGGGAGCCTTTCTTCAGCCCCACCACTAGAATTAATGTCTTTCTTCCAGACCAGTTTGCCGGTGCCCCTAATCCACAGTTTCCCAACCTCAGCTCTACTGATATT